AAAAAAATTATATATATATATATATAATTTTTATAACAGTAATTTATCATTTATTTTCTCTTCATGGTCATGGAAGCATACTGTTATCATCAAAGTGATTTTATGTGCAGAAAGATTAGTGCACTCTTGTTTAAAAAACAATTGCATTGCATTCCTAGCAGGGCAGTTCCATTAAAGTAAGGTCACTAAGAAGTTTTCTCAGCACTTAATAGGTTGCCACAAACCATAAAAAAAGACCATGTGCATAGTTGGAGTGCAGCCTGCCTGTTTCTGTCATCTGCCTTGGTGGTCGCAGAGCGCTCGGACCCAAATGTATATATATATATATATATATATATATATATATATATATAATTTTTATAACAGTAATTTATCATTTATTTTCTCTTCATGGTCATGGAAGCATATTGTTATCATCAAAGTGATTTTATGTGCAGAAAGATTAGTGCACTCTTGTTTGAAAAACAATTGCATTGCATTCCTAGCAGGGCAGTTCCATTAAAGTAAGGTCACTAAGAAGTTTTCTCAGCACTTAATAGGTTGCCACAAACCATAAAAAAAGACCATTTGCATAGTTGGAGTGCAGCCTGCCTGTTTCTGTCATCTGCCTTGGTGGTCGCAGAGCGCTCGGACCCCCATCTAACTCACTCGGCACAGTGTCTACATGTATTTACTGGTGACTGTTGTGAAATATTTGGATGGGAGTCCTTACTCTAGACTCCAGCTCTGCTCTGCTTTTGATGCACTGATTTTAGGGACAAAAGGGTACTGAGTAGCGTTCTTCTCTGCTAGGCAGTAACCTTGGAAACCAGGGGCCAAAACAGGACCCCTGACCTATAGAGTCACGGCCCATTGTGGGAGTGGCTCTTAAGTGGAGCTGGTCAGAGGGCGTGAAGCTCCTCTGCGGGTCTCACATCTCCTTTCAGCGGCACAGAATGCATTAATGGGGTGTCTAACAACATGAAACTACACTTAGGGTGGCTTTTAGACAAGGAACTTGGACGGCTGACAGTTGATTGCTTCTTGTGCAATTCACTGAATGTTCTTAGTGTGCATGCAAACATAGCTACAAATACAAGCCATTGGGTTAGGGCTTTGTTTTTAGGGGTTTCGACTGTTCTGTTTGGTTGTCACCTTGCAGAAAATGTATATTGCAGCTGTCGGATGAGACTAGTAGTAGAAGCTATCGTCCAGGCAGAAGATCTGGCACTAACTGTCATGCCATCCTTGACCTGCACTGCTGAATATATCCATTGTTAAGTAACTGTGCTAGTATTCTGGGCAAGACATAATAACATGAGGTCAACCAATGGTCTGAATTTGGGGTGGAACTACCTGTATGTTAATTCAATTATACATGTTTCAAATAAATAATGTTCTTTTGAACTTTCTATTCATCAAGGAACACAGAAAAAAAAATGTATCTCAGTTTCCACAAAAATAGCAGCACAACCGTTTTCAACATTGACAATAATAATGTTTCTTGAGCAGTAATATTAGAATGATTTCTGAAGGATCATGTGACACTGAAGACTAGAGTAATGATTACTGAAAATTAGAGCTTTTGCCATCACAGGAATAGATTACATTTTATCTTTATTATATTAAATATATTAAAAAGACTTGGTTAGGTAACACTTTAGGGTAACACTTTAGTATAGGGACCAATTCTCACTATTGCTTATTAGCATGCCTATTATTAACATACTGGCTGTTTATTAGTACTTATAAATCACATATTCTGCATGACCATATTCTACATCTTTAATCCTTAACAGCTGCCTTACTATTAATAAGCAGTAATTGGGAGTTTGGGGCAAAATTTGTGTAATAACATTTTACAATATTATTGTTTTTACTGTATTTTTTATCAAGTAATTGCAGCCTCGATAAGCATAAGAGACTTCCGTCAAAAACAAAAAACGTACAGACTCCAAACAGTATTGTATAACAGTAATGTATCATTTATTAACATATTCCAACAGTGACTAACACTAATTGGGCGTAAGCATCAGGAGAGCAGGTGTGCGGCACGGAAGGCATCATTCAGCGTTATCAGAAACTACACCTTTAAAGCTGGTCCCTGCAGGGCTTTGGCTCAGCAACTAAACCGTGCATTAGCATGCAATCACTTCACCTGTTTGTGCTTCTATCCTGTGGCTGCTTGAGTATCTGAAACTTTTTTCAAACTTTTGCTCAAGTCATTAGCAGTGTCGGGAAATAACCAAGTATTGTGACAATAGTTGATCTATTTTTAAAATACTGCAGCTTATCTGGTATCAATCAAGCTACCTTTAGCGATGTAGTGCAGTGCTTATTTATATAAATTAGGGTGTATTCTAGTATTTGATCTGTCCAAATGTATCTGTTTAATGCTGTAAGTCAATAGTTCAAATGCCTTCCTTGTTTTTGTGCCAGAAAAAGTAAAAGGAATGTAGTTCCAGGACCTTAGTGAAGACAGTCGGCTTTTAACATAGCTGGACCCAGATAAGCTAAGCTATAATCATCCTGCTGATACATTCTTCCTCTTCACCTCTGCTTGCTAGCCTTCTATCCCATGAAGCTCTTTCTGACACTGCATAGAAAGAAAGTCTGGTGTAGGATTAGGATTAGTCAGCTTTTTTCTCAGGACGACATCACACGCGCTCACACACCACTCAGATTCTCCTTTTGCCTTTAGATCCTTTTATCCGTTGAGAGACGCGTCTGTCGTTGTAATTAAAGATTTGTGGTGTTGGAGAACAAATAGAAGATCTGAATCCTGCAACATTACCTCAAAATAATCATTCTATCCTGCATTCTGCTGGGCCAGAAATCATTCTGGACTGTGTGGGCCTTCAAACACTATTGTAGCTTTGTGCCGATTCATGTGATTCTTTTGATATCATACTAAACAAACCAAGTGCTGATACTCTTGCAAAGTGGTTTCACAACAGTCTTTTGGTTTCGCTGACAGTATGAAACATTTCCTAGTGGTACTATCATGTATGTCTATCAGTCGACTAGTCTGTTTCTTTCACTGCGGGACTGCTTTCTTGAACACTTCTTTTTTTAGCGGTTTTATTGAAGTTTGACAGCCTGAAAAGAACAGTGAGTGTAAAATGGTCTTGACAGCCAGTGTTTATATCAGGTTTCAGTAAGGAACATTTGTATGTGGGTCTATTGTGTACTGAATAGAATGAAGAATGCAGTGGTAGTTTTTTGTGGCTCCTGGATTGACATAATGAGGTAGGCTAAGGATACTAATGCTTAAGGTTGCTAGGATCAGTTTCATTCCCAAGTAGAGGTGACTCTCAAAATAATTTGTTATTGGCAAATTTAATTTCACTTAATGTTTCTACCTATAAAATGGTGCTTAAACTGTTAAAAAAAACTATAGGCTACAACTTAAAATACAAGGGCTGTCAGTATTTTAAATCTTTAAAAAGTTGGCATGTTTAGTTCAATGTGTTACTAGAACTTTCTTTGTAATTGTTTATTAAATTTACTAGCAATTTATGAATGAAAATTGTTGTTACACCAATGTTTTCAGTGTACTTATACTAATATATATATAAGTATAATGTATACTAAAATTAGTAAAAATACTAATATATTCAATTCCTGAATTTTTTGTTCCATTTTTCTTGTGAAAATCATTTAACTGTAGATTATTCAAGGGGACTTTCCCTGCAATTAGTATTCTGCATGTTGTTTCGGATGAAATGTCTACTTCAATGAGGAACTAAGTAATAATTTGTGTGACCCTTAGTTCACATGAGTTGATGATATCGATTACAGCACTTTGTTTCCATCACTCAAAACTACCTGGAAATCAGTTTGCAGTTTTTCCTCTGATGGTCTGATAGAAGAGGATCAAACTCTGGTACTTATTGTTTCTTTTTATAGCTGGCTAATAGCTGTTCTCCAGTTGGTTTGAGTGTTTTTCCACTCACAATGAAAAATAACTCAAATCACCTGGTTTGTTGATGAAAGCTGTGCTATGACTTTTCTAAGCAATTAATGTTGTTTTTCATAGCTGTTCAAGATTAAATTTCTTCTGAGGAACACAATCATTTGTTTTCATGATGGACTGAGGCTCAGTTAGATGTTTTTCATCAGGAGTCAGATAGATAACCGAGAGCAGGCTTCAACTTGTCTACATTACCACACTACACGTCCTCATCCTCCCTCTGTTCTCTTTCTTCTTGCTCGTTCGCTACTCCTGCTCCTCTGTCATCTCGGGAAAGCCTTCTCCTGCCAGTTGAATTTATGGAATCTTCTAGACTGACTTGCCTGGAGGGGAGAGAATATGCAACACTATATTTAAGAAACATGACTGGGGCACTCATTATAAAGTCTGCTTCGTCCTTCAGTAGCTATTTATTTTTTCAGTTTGATCTCTCTGCCAGTGAAATAACCCGTATGTATATATGGCCTTTCCAAAAATCTCCCTCCCAGAAAGAATTTATTTGTCCGGTTGATCCCTGGCCAAGAGTGACATACTGTACTTTGGTTAAAGTGTATCATAAAAGTCAGCTGAGGCATTCCAGAGGTGAGATTTGGCCCTTTCTGACACCTGTAACAAGTTCCCTCATGATCATCAGAATCAGAATCAGAATCAGAATGAGTTTTTATTGCCAGGTATGTTTACACATACGAGGAATTTGTTTTCATGACAGAAGCTCCACAGTGTAACAGAA